ACCCCCCCCCCCCGGGCCCCAGTCCGGGGGCACCTGCCTATAACACGGAGTGCTTAGAGAAGACGCAACCCCCCCTCCCACCCACCCCCAGCACGCATCTCTGGACACTGAAGTGCAGGCAGTTCCGCTGTCCCTGGGTGCCTCCGTGGCTTGCTCATAAACGTGCGCATCTGAGGCACGTCCAGTCGACTTGACAATAGAGGTTCTGATTGACTGATTGATGGATGGATAGGCTTTCTCCGCCATCTCTTCTCCCAACTGGGCAGGAGGGCAGAAAGGAGTGAGGTGGTGCCTCGCAGGTGTGCCTTCCCAGGGCCACCCGTCAGGGAAGGGAATGTTTGTTTATTTATTTATAGTTTCGACTTGCGATACCACCCTAATGAGTTCTAAGAAGGCTTAATGTTTGCAGTGTTCCCTGTCTTGTGACTCAGGCAACAACACAGTCAGAACTGCTCAACACAAAAGCACACCACAACACTGGATATGACCTTTGGATTGGATATGATGTGTGCTTGATGCCCCTGGAGGGGACACTCAGGAATGATCCCCGATGCCAAGAGGGAGTGCGTGTTTTGCCCAAGCTGTCATTTAGCAGAAAATACCTCTTGGGCAAGGGCTGGATGGGCATGAATCATCCTTCCTTCTTCCCTCCCTCCCTTCTTTCCTTCCTTCCTGCGCATTTTGTCCCTGGAGGGAGGGAGACTCCACAAGCGCTACCCTACTAACCCGCCGGCTTTGGCAGGTTCACGTGCAGCGCCCGGAAAGCAGCAATCACTTGGAATGAACGAGGCCAAGTGGGAAAGCGGCCCTTGCAGGGGACCTGGCGGGCCTTGGTGGGCCGTGACTGTAGGCCGCCTCTGTCTGGCCTTCCTGGGTTGGAACCCAGACCCACCCTGAGCCTAGATCAGAGGTCCTGGTGGATTCATCATCAGCTGGTTGTTGAGGAGGTCACAGGTCACACGGCCAGGCCGGATGTTGCCTGGACTGGGGTGAGCCAGGCGTGTGTGTGGTGTGTGCAGCATTTGCACGCGTGCCGGTGCCGGCGTGATCCCAGCATTCCCTCTCCTGTCTGTCCCTTTTCTCTTTGTCCCGCTAAGTCTGCTTTGTCCCTGCATTTGTAGCTGGGCAGCTGTCAGACTCGGGGCACGGGGCCTTGTGGAATGGCGGGCATTCTGAGTCTTAAATAGATGAGGTCCCTGAGAGCATCTCTGGTTTGGAAGGACTCTGGGAAGCCACGGCCAGGGACAGGAGGGGGAGAGCTTGGGAACTTCCGGTGTTCCTTCTTAAGAGTTCCAGAACCGAGTCCACTGGGCCGGCTCTCAGACCAAGGCAGAGGGAGCTGTTTCCACCCGGACATGCTTGGAGACAACCAGGCCACCAGTTTAACATCTAGACAGAATTTTATTGGCTTTGAGTAGACCTAACAAGCCGGTGAGCCCAGACCGTGAGCAGAGGATTCTCCCAGGTGTGCACCAAGGGCCGGTGGCTCCGCCGTCCTCTTCCTTCCTCGCCGTCAGCCTGGCTTCGCTAGCCACCTGCAGGGCTCCGAGGCGGGAGAGCGGAGGGGGTCTCGGACCAGCAGATGAATCACCTGTGCCCCGCCATGCCACGCCCGGCGGCTCTCCTCCCCTGCCACAGCACTGGGTCTCACGGGCTCCCACGCCTCCCCCCCCTCCAAGAAAGAGATGGACGCCTGCAGGCTGCATTCCACCCTGTTTGGGCACACCACGGCAAGTGCCACGGAGCACGGTTTGCGGAGGCGTGCCAAAGACACGTACGAGCCCACGGGCACCCCGAGAAGTGGGGGCAAAAGCATCCACAGAAGGCAAGGCGTCGACCTGTCTCTCCAGAGCCTCGGCCTACCCCCAGCAGAGGGGCCTGCTCTCGGCTCCCCCGGTGCACTCCCCCTTCCTTCCTCGCCTGGAGGACCCCGTGGGGCAGAGGGGAACCAGCTGGCCGGGGGTGGGATGGGGGGAGGCAGAGGCAGTGTGTGAAAACCACCTGGTGTTCTCTAGAGTTACCAACCTCCAGGTGGACAAACAACCGTGATATATTGTGCCAAAAAAAAAAAGTCTTCACAGACTTGAAATTTCTTTTTCCAGTATTCAGTTTACTGGAAGCAATTCAAACGCCATCAACACAATGAACCATGCATATTATGTCTCGTTTTGTGTATACCATTTTCAAAGTGGGTGGCGTTGAAATACAATATTAATCCATTTGGCAAACTCTCTAGTTGTGTCTCATAGTGACACTCATCAAATCCATTAGTGTAATGTAAATCCATTCTTCCTACTTACTTATACATATCTAAAGCCAATAATTGCTGCTGTAAGTAAAAAGGTAAAGGTTCCCTTGCTCGAAAGCCAGTCGAATCCGACTCTAGGGTTGCGGTGCTCCTCTCCGTTTCCAAGCCGAAGAGCCAGCGCTGTCCGAAGACGTTTCCGTGGTCATGTGGCCGGCATGACTAAACACCAAGGTGCACGGAACGCTGTTCCCTTCCCACCGAAGTGGTCCCTATTTATCTACTTGCAATTTCTTGCTTTCGAACCACTAGGTTGGCAGGAGCTGGAACTAGAGACGGGAGCTCACTCCGTCATGCGGCACACTCGGGTCTCGAACTGCCGAACTACCGACCTTCCACAGCCTGCAGCTCAGCGTCTTAACCACTTGAGCCACTGTAAGTAGGAAGACCCTTTTTTTGGCACAATATATCACAGCTGTTTGTTTCCCTTCGACTCCCATGAGATCTCTCCCCTCGGTTTGGTTTGCAACCTCCAGGTGGAGCCTGGAGTCCTCCCAGAATTGCAACTGACCTCACCCTGAGGTGCTCCTGGACTCTTACTCTTTTCGGGCGGCACAGCTACCACGGGCCTCTCCCTCCCACCCTGCCGAAGCGGAAGCGGAAGCGGGGAGGGCCAAGTGGAGGAGGGCAGAGAGGCTTCCCTCCTTCAGAGGGTCTCTGCTGGCCTTCTCGGTTTCCCGCTGTCTCCTCCTGCCTCCCCTGACTCCGGCACCCCAGCTGCACCCACCCCGGAGTCCATCGAAGCCTCACCCCTGGCCTTCTTGGGCCAGCCGCACTTCAAGGCCTTCCCAGACGGTCCACGTCCAGTGCAAAGAACCGGCAGCAGCAACGGCTCTCCCCTTTCTTGGCTCTCCCGGCTGCTACAGATTCTCCCCAGGAAAGGGCATTTATACCCTAGCCATTGCCCCGTGGGGTCCAAATAGGGTTTCCAGCTTGGGGTTGCGAAACTCCTGGGGATTTGGGGGTCAAGCCTGGGGAGGCCAGGGACCTCAGAGGGAGCGATAAAGAGCCCACCCGTGTCCCCCAGGGGAACTCATCTCTGTCGCCTGGAGATCAGGAGTAATCCCAGGAGGTCTCCAGGCCCCACCTGGAGGTCGGCAAGCCCGGGCTGAAAGAGTGGCTGTGGAGCCACGCAGGGGCCTCCTGCCAGTCCCAGTGCCGAGGCCAGGGGTCATTCACAGCCTGCCAGCACCCGGAAGCGGGACCCTCCGGCCTCTGCACCCCCCCTCCCCCCCCTGGAGAGCCAGTCTGGTGTGGTGGTTAAGTGCGCGGACTCTAATCTGGGAGAACCGGGTTTGATTCCCCCGCTCCTCCACTCGCAGCTGCTGGATGACCTTGGGCAAGCCACAGTTCTGGTCAGAGCTGTCCTTGAAAAAGAGCAGTTTCTGTCAGAGCTCTCTCAGCCCCACCTGCCTCACAGGGGGTGTCTCTTGGGGGGAGGGGGAGGGAAAGGGGTCTGTAAGCAGCTCTGAGACTCCTCTGGGTAGTGAAGGGCCATGGGGTATAGATCCAACCTCCTCCTCCTCCCTGCTCTTCGGGAGGCCCTTTTACAGGAACCAGCAGCCCCGCTTGGGCGTCCCTGGCGAAGAGGGAGCTCTGGCTGTCGAGGGCTCCTGCCCTGAAAACCCTTCTCTGTCTCTCAGCCGGGGCTGCACCGGAACTCCCGGATCTAGTCTTGTCCCGCTGCAGAGCAACAACGCGGCTCCCCTCTGAAGCGGCCCCTCTCGGGTGCTGATCCTGAACGTGGGCAGCCCCGCTTGCTCTGTTTAAAACATTTCTGTCCCGCCTTGTCTTGTGGCAGCACAAGGGCAAGCAGAAAGAGGAGGCTCCTGCTGCGGCTGAGGCAAGCCTGGCTCCCCAGGCCCCTTTGGGAGAAGCCCCCCCCCCGCCAAGCGGGCTCTCCCTCTCACACACACACACACATGCACACGCACACACACACACTCACCCCCTCCCTTTGCAGGCTCTTTGTGTTTTCCACAGGCCGTTGCCTAGCAACCGGCGGGAGGGGGGCGGGGAGGGTCGGGGTCCTGGGAGGAAAAACGTAAAGAGAGAAAAAAGGCCTTGTCTCCTCACAGGAAGTTCTGACCATACCGTTTCTGGCAGTTCCTAGAGCGACCCTCGTCACTTCCAGTTCATCCAGGGAATCTTCAGGAACTCTGTGGTCAGAACTTCCTGTGAGGAGACGAGGCCTTATGTTTATTGTTGGTTCTTCTCCCCAGGATGATCACCTGCTGCCGCCGCCCCCATTCGGCCCACAGTCCCCCCCCCCTCCAACCTGGGGAGCATGGGCAGGCGAGGGCCACAGTTACCTGGAGGTCTCCCCCCAAAGCAGGCGCTCTTCCAAGGGGGCTCCTCCTCAGCCTGTGTGCTGGAGCGTGCCCCCCCAGGTGGGAGAGAGAACAGCAGTCGGGCACAAACCCACCCACCCCGCTCCCCAGGGCCTTGTCCCATGCCTGGCGTGGGCGTGGCTCAAATATTGCACTCCTGCCTTGCATGCCAACTGGCCGCATGATGACCCTGCAGGCGGGCCTGAATCCCCCCCCCCCGCCCCCCCCCACGCCTCCCCCGCCTCC